TCAACACTCCTGTACCAATGTGTTTAAACCTGCATTTCTCTCTTTCTGCAATGTGCTGAAAATTGCACAGGTGGAGACAGGTGGTGTATTGTTAGGAAAATTATTAATTTGGATTTGATAATGAGAAGTTGGCATGTTACATATTCCCTCCCTGTATTGCTGTGATTAAGCCATGCAGCTGTAGTCACAGGTTGTTATTTGCGTGCACAGATCAGCAGATATCCCAAAAATTCATTCTTTCATTTTGAGGGATGAACAGACTCTGTCATTAACTTTCCTTATTCCTGACGCAGTGTCTTGTCTGTGTGTTATGTTTTCTAACCCTTTCCTTATTGAACTAAAATGCAAGTTTTTGTTGTTTTTTTGCCACCCTCTTTTCGTTAACCTCTGAAAAGATAAACATTGTTTCATTGTTTTATTGAACAATGACAAACCTAGATAAGTTTTCCTGTATAACAGTTGACCACAGATCTAAACACGACGGTTACCTGGCAATGCAAACATACACTCTTTATTCTTTTCATATGCCAGGGCCTTCATATACCCCGAAGTTCACAATACATACTTGATCCCCCCATCTGTAGATAAATATCCAGATCAATGCAATGACAGAATTTATTCAGTGTGATTGTCTGTGAATCATACCTGCAGTAATACACATATGCGTAAATGAATCATCGTTCATTTATTTAATATCGAGACATCAGTAAGAACGATTGGTTTCTCTTGTGCCTTTTTGGGTGTGTGCTTTCTTCTTTTCTTTTTTTGTTTTGTTTGTGAGATCATGCTTAAAAAATGTAGTGAAAAACATTTCGTGTCACGACAGGTCATCCCGTCCTCAAGCATAATGAAGTGAATATTTTTATGTCAAACATCGCACTCTCAAAGCATGCAATAAGCGTTCCTGTCATGTCATTGTTTGTTTGGTTTTTATATAAACTTGACAACTTAATTTTCCTGTCACAAAATGTGATTTTATTTTATTTTTGGATTAATTAATTGTTTTATGAAATGCTAGTATTATTGAGCCCTCCCTTCTTTTTAAAGGGGTCATATGACGTTGCTAAAAAGAACATTATTTTGTGTATTTGGTGTAATGCAATGTGTTTATGCGGTTTAAGGTTCAAGAAACACATTCTTTTTTACATACTGTACATTATTGTTTCTCCTCTATGCCCCGCCTTTCTGAAACGCGTCGATTTTTACGAAGTGTACGCTGATTGGACAGCTTTCCAGTGCGTTGTGATTGGCTGAATACCTCAAACGTGTGACGGAAATGTCACAAGAAACATATCTTATTATTATCATTGTCAAAAACAGTTGTGCTGCTTGATGTTTTTGTGGAAACCCTGATACATTTTTGTCAGGATTTTGTTACGCCCCTTACAATACTGTGATGCCATATCCCGGCGCGATGAGACAACACCAATAAAACCCATTATAAACGAGGCATTTGTTGCATCCAGTGGGGAGATAATTACTGATTATTATGACTTATACTGTCTTTTTACACGTTGCGTTGCGTATCACGCCGCATAAACATAAAACCATTATTATTATTATTATTATTATTATTATTACATTTATTCCAGTGATGGCAAAGTAGAATTTTCAGCAGCCATTGTTTTCATTCTGTCACATGATCCTTCAGAAATCATTTTAAAATGCTGATTTGATGCACAAGAAACATATCTTATTATTATCATTGTCAAAAACAGTTGTGCTGCTTGATGTTTTTGTGGAAACCCTGATACATTTTTGACAGGATTTTGTTACGCCCCTTGCCATACTGTGATGCCATATCCCGGCGCGATGAGACAACACCAATAAAACCCATTACAAACGAGGCATTTATTGCATCCAGTGGGGAGATAATTACTGATTATAATTACTTATACTGTCTTTTTACACGTTGCTTTGCGTATCGCGCCGCGTAAACATAAAACCATGTCTGCATTTGTTATCGGAGAAATGACAAACAACAAGTGCTACTCTACACTGCTCAAAACTCGCGTTTGAATCATCAGTGGCAAATTCTTTAGATATAAAAAACGTACTTACAGGCTGTGAGTCAGAAGCGCCAGACTGTCCTTGCAAAGTAGAAACTGCCCCACTTTATAGAAACAGCCTTTGTGCACAGACGCATCGTAGGCTAACGTTACTCTGCAGGTTCAGGAAACAGTCCTCCATAAAATGCGCTGCACACATCTGAATATTTGGGTTGAACTGTTCTGGAACAGTGTTGTAAATACAACTTAACCGCGTTAAATATCGCATGCGATTTATCGTGCAGCCCTAATTTATAACATCAATAATGTTATGTAGTATTTATATGTGAAAAGTGACATGACGTGTGGCCAAGTATGGTGTCCCATACTCGGAATTTGTGCTCTGCATTTA